AGAAGCCGGGGCTGTCCGTACACATACCTGCCCCGGGAGCAGGGTGGGTAGGGGGTCCTTATGGGGTCATTGTGGGGGTCCTTATGGGGTTATGGGGTCTTTGTGGGGTTATGGGGTGGTATGGGGTTATGGGGTTATGGGGTATTATGGGGTTATGGACAGAGCCAGGAGCCGGGGGTGTCCGTACACCTACCTGCCCAGGGAGCAGGGTATGGGGTTATAGGTCCTTATGGGGTCCTTGTGGGGTGGTTATGGGGTCATGGGGTTATGGACAGAGCCCACAGCCGCAGCTGTCCCTACACCTACCTGCCCAGGGAGCAGGGTATGGGGTCGTTATAGGGTCCTCATGGGGTCCTTATGGGGTGGGTATGGGGTTATGGACAGAGCCAGGAGCCGGGGCTGTCCCTACACCTACCTGCCCAGGGAGCAGGGTGGGTGTGGGGTCGTTGTGGGGTCCTTATGGGGTTATGGGGTTGTATGGCGTCCTTATGGGGTGGTATGGGGTTATGGACAGAGCCAGGAGCCGGTGCTGTCCCTACACATACCTGCCCAGGGAGCAGGGTGGGTATGGGGTCATTATAGGGTCATTATGGGGTTATGGGGTGGTTATGGGGTGGTTATGGGGTCCTTATGGGGTTATGGGGTGGTATGGGTTTATGGGGTCTTTATGGGGTGTAGTAGGCGTGGCGAGGAGACAATGGGGTTATGGGGTTACGGACAGAGCCAGGAGCCGGGGGTGTCCCTATACTTACCTGCCTAGGGAGCAGGGTGCGTTATAGGGTCATTATAGGGTCATTATAGGGTCCTTATGGGGTTGTGGGGTTCTTATAAGGTTATGGGGTTACAGGGATGTTATGGGATTATGGGGTTACAGGGCTGTTATGGGGTTATGGGGTTGGGGGGTTATAGGGATGTTATGGGGTTATGGGGTTCCTATGATGTTACAAGGAAGTTATGGGGTTGTGGGGGTATGGGGGTGGTATGGGGTTATAGGGATCTTATGGGGTTATGGGGTTGTGGGGTTATAATGTTGTAGGGTTGTTATGGGGTCGTTATAGGGTCATTTTGTGGTTATGGGGGTGGTATTGGGTTATAGGAATGTTATGGGGTTGTGGGATTATGGGGATGTTATCGGGTTATGGGGTGGTTATGGGGTTATGGGGTGGTTATGGGGTCACGGACTGAGCCAGGAGCCACAGCTGTCCTTATGCATACCTGCATAGGGTGCAGGGTGCTGTGGGGTCCTTGTGGGGTCCTTATGGGGTCTTATAGGGTTGTGGGGTTGTGGGGTTGGTGCGGTTATGGGTATGGGATATGGAGACATGGGATAGGGGATATGGGATATGGAAATGGGAATATGGGATATGGGATTTGGGATATGGGATAGGAGATATGGGATATGGGGATTTGGGATTTGGAATATGGGGATGGGAGTATGGGATATGGAATATGGGATATGGAATATGGGACATGGGATTTGGGATACGGGATATGGGATTTGGAATATGGGATAGGAGATATGGATATGGGATTTGGGATATGGGATATGGGGTATGGGATATGGGGATATGGGATTTGGGATATGGGGATTTGGGATTTGGGATTTGGAATATGGGATATGAGATATGGGACATGGGATATGGGATAGGGGATATGGAATATGGGATTTGAGATATGGGATGTGGGGTATGGGATATGGGATTTGGGTTATGGGACATGGGATATGGGACATGGGATATGGGATTTGGGATATGGGATTTGGGATATGGGGATTTGGGATTTGGGATATGGGATATGGGGATATAGGATTTGGGTTATGGGACATGGGGTATGGGATTTGGGATATGGGGACATGGGATTTGTGATATGGGGATGGGAATATGGGATATGGAATATGGGACATGGGATTTGGGATTTGGATTTGGGATATGGGGATGGGATGTGGGATTTGGGATATGGGGATTTGAGATATGGGATATGGGATTTGAGATTTGGGATTTGGGATGTGGGGATTTGGGATTCGGGATATGGGGACAGGAGCACGCTGTCGCCCCGCAGACGCCTATGGGGTGAAGGTGAAGCGGAAGCGCGGCATGCCGGACCTCCTGGAGGAGCTGTCGGGTGCAGGTGGGTGCTGGGGGGGGGACACCCCCATTTCGGGGACTCCCCCCCC